CGACTAATAACAGTCATGGGGACTGCAGAAACACAGCACACTGTTCAGATTGATGCAGACATTGACTTGTACCGCAAAGAGATCTCTATCTCACTCATGGTTTGTCTTCTCAAGTGGGGGAAAGACAATGCACAACGTTACCCCACTGCTGTCAACCTGGGCCAAGTCATATCTCTCTTGTCCCAGAAACCTCAGTCCCAAATGAGAGGGTTTTTTTCTGTTGCAGGGGACATTGTAAATACCCAGAGATACCAGCTTTTACCAGATTATAATTATATGATAATTTTCCTTTAAACCCATCTCTATCTAAGTGAGTGAGTGATTAAATGTTGAATGTGATGAGTTTTCAACACTACTAAATTGAAACTTTATTTTTTTACATGGTTTAATAATTTTTTGTTATTAAAATTGAAGTTAGTGTTTCAAAGCTTACAGATAGATGGCTAATTTGTATGTCATTGACACTTTTGGCACTTTTTTGGAGTATTTTCAAAAGTTTTTTTTTTCCTGTAAATGATTCAATAAATACCGTACCGTGACATTCATACCGAGGTATTACGGAACCGTGAAATTCTGATACCGTTACATCCCTAGTGCCGAGTAGTGTGTCCGAATTCATAGTATTCGAAAAACAGTATGTGAGAAGTACCCAGATGACCTACTACTTCCGGCAAGATTCTGAAGTGCGCATCCTATAAACGCTACACTATACCATAATACCATGCAAGAGAATTTATGAATGGGAGTGATGCGACGCAACTGACATGGATAGGTCATGTAATAATGACAAATGGCAGATGAAGTATTTATGTGCTCCATTCATACTACTAACATTCATACTATATAGAAAGTACTTTTCTTACGGTCGTGTGGCAAATTCAAATGTAGTAGCTACTGAGATGTAGGTGATTTCGGATGCACTTCACTTACTTCCAAACTATATAGTATGCTAAAAAACAGTATGCGAGCAGAGTAGTATGTCCAAATTACTAGTACTCAAAAAACAGTAAGCAAGTATTTCGGGCGAGATTCTGAAGTGCGCATCTGATGGATGCTATGCTATCCCATAATGCCACACAAGAGAATTTATGAATGGGAGTGAAGCGACGCAACTGACGCGGATAGGTCACATGATCATGACAGATGGCAGATGTAGTACTTATGAGCTCGATACTACTTGCATTCATACTATATCAGGGCTCAAAATTGCGACCATTTTGGTCTCATATACGCCCGAAATTCGATCAATGCGACCTCATAATATATTTGGGAGGATTTGTGCGACTACATGTAATGGCTGTAGTGCGAACTGTCAAGATTTTTTCTAAAAACTTGCTGAATCGCTCTTCCCTGCCGCTTTATTGGTTCATATTAGCTGTCAATCACTCGAGGCTTTCTGCTGTCAGATGACTGGGAGCTTTTGTTACTGCGGGAAATGCAAACGACTGAAGAGTGAAAAGTACACAGATTTGCAAATCCCACCTAAGGAAATGACAGCGATCATGACATGTGGTGAATGTTGATCTGTCAGCTAAGATCAATTGAGTGTTTTCAGAGAAAATGCCTGATTGCGTTGCATTCACTCCGTGTTCAGCGCAAATATCCGCTATAAATGTAAAATCTAACACTGTACATCATTGCCAAAGAAGCTCGCCTTTACTAAGTTTAAACTGAATCTGCGGCTCATAACAAAGAGTGGTACTGCGCCGGTGGTCATCGCGAGAATCCAGCTCTGCCTGCTCATAAATTAGTCCGGCTGACTCGCCTGCTTTATTCCACAAACACAGAAAAATTCAAATCAGCCCATAACGAGACGGAGCATTTACAATGACACAAACCCAAACCAAAACTTTCAAAGAGTGATAGAAGACAGACTTTTATTACTTTCTTTTGTCCATTATTCCGTGAGATGTATATAATTACTTAGCTACCAACTAAAAAAAGCAGTTTTGCAGCTTTCAGCCATGAATTGAATGATTTATTACAATCTTTTGTTTGTTTTGTAGCAGAAATATTATTTATTAGATTGACGATTGACATCCATATAAAAACAATAGTGCAAAATAAATATTACTTACTGCAAGGCTTCATTTTAGTTTGATGCAAACCATAAATTTATTTTTCATAAAGTAACAGACTTTTTTTTTGTAGATAACTTGCATTCAAGCACATTCAAGGCAGCATCATAATAAGAAATGTAATTTATAGTTAGTATTATTGTCATCATCGTCATCATTAATATTTATAATTATTAGAGATTCATTTTGGAATTACTGCACACAAATATTAATAAGTCATCACAGCATTAGTTAGATAGTCGTTTCTGGTTTTTGTTAGTCCTAATTGGTGTTGCTTTCAAATACAATAAATCCCTTAAAATACAATTTGCAATGGTGCTCATTTATTTTTGGTGGGTGCTGCTAATTTTTTTCTGGTGCTCCTAAATATTTTAAGTTGGGAGCACCGGCGCTACCAAGTAAAAAAAGTTAATTTCGAGGCCTGTATATAAAAAGCACTTTTCTTCGAATGTATATATAGAATGGAGTATATGACTGCTCAACTTCAACTAAAACTGGATATTTTTAAACAAAGATGGGCACCTGTTACGTTGTAATTGAATAGGACATAGTATTTCTAGCTCCTTTGAAACTGAAAATATTGTATGTTTTTTATTTTTTTGTAATTTTTTATTTTATTTACATCTGCGGCTACTGTCGTTTTTTTTTTTTTTTTCTTAATAATCGCTGCTGTCACTGAATGTTCTGTTCTGTAAAATGTTTTAATGTATAAAAATAAAGTTAAAAAAAGCACTTTTCTTATGGACATATAGTAAACTCAAATTCAAATGTAATACCTACTCAAGTATTAGGTGATTTCGAACTCAGCCAAAGAGATCGCACACCCCAAAAGCAATGAGTGATAGTGTACCAAAAAAAAAAAAAAAAATATATATATATATATATATATATATATATATATATATATATATATATATATATATATATATATATATATATATATATATAATAATAATAATCACACTGGTCAATTGGTAAGTGTGTTAAGGTCACTGCTGTTGTTTTAATGTGTGGCGAAGCTCAATTTAATTGAGTCGCATCTTCCAGCAAACCACAAATTCAGCAAACTATAAATCATTTACAGTAAATCAATCAGCAAAAAAAAAAAAAAAAAAGAAATTCAATCAATCGCTATTAATGAAAGCCCTGCTTCTGTCCCAAGGCTGAAGCGAGAAGAATCTGTGCCTTGTATTTCATACCATCTCAGCGTTTCAACTGCCCATCTCACACCTAGAGAGCCAGACAACAGCCTTCATCCCTTCTTCCGGAGTACAAAACCTCTTGTATAATCAGCAACAGTCCCCGCTGATCTCCAGGCCACCTATTATCACTGCTATAGCCTGTATAATACAAGATTCATTGCATAAAGAACAAACACGCAACCCCTGCGTCCCTGAGCTGTCAACTGACCTGTTAATGAGTGTAAAGCGCCTGTGGCTTCTATGGATTTACGACATGTTACACCATGCAATTTTATGTTTTGCACGAGCACAACCATGTGCTTCAACATTACGACTAACTGCATGCGCTAAAAAAGCCACATTCTGATAATCATGCATGCATCGTATGAATAGTATAAGGTAGCAAACAGACAGCAAAATGTTCAGGTTGATGTTTAGGATACTATTTAAAGGTGACGATGACCCAGCATTGTTTTAACTACCTTAGTTTATTCTATTGACATCCCCTCTGAGAAATCAGGTCACCATGTGTTCATTTTCATTTCTCTTGCAATGATAACATCTCAACAAGTAAGTATTAATCTATCAGAAGCCAGAGAGCAGATCTTATAAAGCAGTCAGCATGATTCTCTGACATATGAAACATATTTTGCACTAGGTTTGAAGATCAAACAGACAAAAAAAACTAATTTGCATTTTGTTTGTAATGCAACGTGCATTCATTTATTCTTTTGGACATGAATGTTTATGGTTTCTATAAATTACAAGACAAAGGAACAAATATTGCGATCATTAAAGCTTGCTTTGATTTTAAAACACAAAACAGGCAGCTTTTTTGCTCGTTACACCACATTTTCTGCAACTAGTTGACTAGTGTTTCCCTTAACCACTAAAAAAGCCACCTGAACCAACACTGAACCCAAACTGTGATCTCTGGTGACCTTTAAACATCAACCTTTGACCTTCTTAGTCCCATTTTTATTGACCGAAGCCACAGGAAACCTTATGAAAACTATAAACAATGCAAAGTCCACAATCGGTCTGGGGTAGCATGTAAAAATATTACAAACTCACTAATGAGGTGAAATATCGTATATTGAAGTAAAACTAAGGATCAATATTAGAAATAATTATAGTAATAAAAGCCAAATACTCTAATGAACAATAATGCCAACTCTCAAGTAACAAGCATTACTTTAAGATATATGAAAATAAATTAGCAAATTACGTTATCACTCCAGTAAATCACATTTATGACTTCTTCTCACCTTACATTACACAATCTTACAGTATAATACATCACAAATACATGCGTCACGGACAAATATATAGAAACAGTCAGTTCTTGACCCACTATGTGTACGAAGAACATACAAGCCAGATCAGATAAATGAAGCGGTAACATCGCACCGACTGTAACAGAGAAACAAAATGGAAACTAAATGACAGGAGGGACCATTGCGATTGCGTTCTTGCGTATTTTCTCTCTCTGTTACCTTTTTAAGACGCCGTATCAAGTTAAAAACAGTTCAACTTTTAAGAAAAGAAAGGGCGTTTCGGCACCACGGCGTCCTGGTTATGAACGCGCGTTATTACAGTCCGTCTTAACGGGTTATCGTTCAGCACCTCAGCGCTCGCAGGATCACAATAAACACACACCAAACACACACACACACTGTGGTCAAATGGAGCGGAGTGTTTTCAGCTGTAGGGCGGAATCGGGTCGACTCTCGACACGTACCTGAATCCGCTATCCGAGCGCTTTCTGCGGGTAAACGTGCGCCGTCAACCGCGCCGAATGGAAGTAGAGTCCAAAAACTCATCGGGCTCCAAAAGCGACCGTCGGGACTGAGTCTGTCTGATCTGTATATTGTCGGAATCCCCAAGAACTCCGCAATGTTCACACTCCTCCTCCTCCTGCTGCTGCTTTTTTCCCTCTCTCTCTCTCTCTCTCTCTCTGACTGACTGAGTGAGCGCGGCTTAAAGCTACAGAACGCGCTTTGTGTGGACGTGCGTGCGCGCGCACATTGAGACGTGCGTCAGCTCACCTCTAATAACCCTTAATAACCTAAGGAAAGGAGATACTTTATGGCTGCTGATGTACTGTATGTTACAAGCATATTCATCGATAAACACACTTGATACACAAATACACTTCACTGAACATGTATTAAACATCACATAGACATATCTTTCAAAGGACACTATAACTGCAAGTACCTAATGTGTTTATTTACTGTCTTAACCAATATAAGCAATCCTTAAATGTTGTCATTTTGGCTCTACTGTAGTAATAATGCAGACCTTGGGTAAAGCTGCTTTGTAATAATAAGTATTGTGAAATCTTAACTTCACATATAGAATATATTATTAAAGTCATATTCAAGTGTAATCTCATCCATTCCAGTATTCAGCCTAACTGCATTAACTACTGTACAACAATGAGTTATCAGTTCAGATACTTTTTAATTGCCTACTTATAGGGAATAATTTATTTCCATCAAAAGCATTTACGATACGATTCAGTATGTTTAATAAACATTTTAACATTGAACAACATTGGAGTACAAATAAAAAAAAAATGCGTTCGCATGGGTTTCCTCCAGGTGCTCCAGTTTCAGTACAGGGGAATTGGGTAGGTTAAATTGTCCGTAGTGTATGAGTGTGCGTGTGAATGTGTGTGTGGATGTTTCCCAGAGATGGGTTGCAGCTGAAAGGGCATGCTGCGTAAAAACTTGCTGGATAAGTTATAGGTTCATTCCGCTGTGGCGACTCCAGATTAATAAAGGGACTAAGCCGACAAGAAAATGAATGAATGAATGAATGATAAATAAATTTTATACTTAGTTTTTTCATTCAGTCACATTTTTAAGGGTGTTTTAACCTCTAATGGACAGAACAGTGTAGTGAATTGACATGAGATCATTGAGAGCAGAGAGAGGGAAAGGATCAGCAAAGGACCTCAAGCCAGGAATCAAACTCAGGTCACCATGAGCACCTCAGTGCTACTTTTCAGTGCGCGTAACCACTGGGCTATTGGCGCCAACATTAAGTCACATTTTTAACATATGATTCATTCATTGATTCAGTTTCTTTTCAGCTTAGTCTATTTATTAATCTGGGGTCACTACAGCGGAATGAACCGCCAACTTAAGGCTGATTTATACTTCTGCGTCAAGCGCACGCGTATGCTACGGCGCTGACACATAGCCCTACGTCGTGGCCGTCGGTGTCGCTGACGTGCACCTCTCAAAAAAATGTAACTATAAAGCCTGGTTTATACTTCTGCATCAAGTGACCAGCGTAACCCACGGCACATGCAACGCGCGTGGCTGTGCATTTATACTTCTGCGTGCTGTCTCTGTTGGTCTGCATTAACACTTCCAAAACGCTAGTTGGCCGTGAGGTGTTAATGTTCCCCTGTGTCAAGTTTCTTCGCTGCTGTTTTGCTTTTCCTGAACACTTCCGGGATGTACAAGTGGCTCAAACTCGCTCATTTTGAGGCAGGAACCGGCGGACGTGCAACAACTTTAACTATGAGGTAAACACAAAACAAAAATTTCAATCCGGAGCTCCTTCACGGGACTCCACACTTGTAAACAATCGCTCCATCAGGCTCGCACCATTTACGCGGCTCTCGGCCCCGCCCAGACTCGTCAGCGCTACCAAGCCGACCAATCACTGAGCTTGCGCTACGCTTCGTTGCGACGTGTAGTTACATTTTTTGAGAGGTGCACGTCAGCAACGCCGACGGCCACGGCGAAGGGCTATGCGTCAGCGCAGTAGCATACGCCGGCGTTTGACGCAGATAAATCAGCCCTAAGTCGCAACGACGCGTAGCGCAAGCTCTGTGATTGGTCGGTTTGGTAGCGCTGACGAGTCTGGGCGGGGCCGAGAGCCACGCGAGCCCAATGGAGCGATTGTTTGGAAGTGTGGAGTCCCGCGAAGGAGCTCTGGATGGAAAGTTTTGTTTTGTGTTTACCTCATAGTTAAAGTTGTTGCACATCCACCGGATCCTGCCTCAAAATGAGCGAGTTTGAGCCACTTGTACATCTCGGAAGCGTTCAGAAAGAACAAAACACAGGCGAAGAAACTCAACACAGAGACACATTAACTCCTCACTGCCAACTAGCGTTTTGGAAGTGTTAATGCAGACCAACAGAGACAGAAGTATAAATGCACAGCTATGCGCCGTTGGTTACGCCGGTCACTTGACGCAGAAGTATAAACCAGGCTTTATCCAGCATCTGTTTTACACAGCGGATGCCATTCCAGCTGCAACCCATCTCTGGGAAACATCCATACACACTTATTCACACTCATACACTACAGACAATTTAACCTACCAAATTCACCTGTCCCGCATGTCTTTGGACTGTGGGGAAAACCGGAGCATGCAGAGGAAACCCACGCGAACACAAGGAGAGCATGCATAATATCTCTACTAAAAGACCGAAAATATTACTGTGCAAACTGTATTGTAGATTAATCAAATGAATATTTTCATATTAGTCCATAATAATACTGTAATGAATTTAAAAACTGAATCGATATAAGTTTACACACATTTACACAAGTAAATAAACAGAATCAGTGATAGGATAAAAATCTGCAGAATTCTGCGCACACAGGTTCCATGTGAGCCCATATGGCTTATTAACTTGACTGAGACTCGGCCCTTATAAAAGCCAGACTTGGTCCAGTCATATACCGTAATTCACAGCAGCATGTGGGCCAAGCAAAAGCTGATTGTGTGGGCCAGAGCTGGGCCAAAGAAATTTTGTTATGTGGGTTGTCTTTAGCCGTAAGCAGCAGAGGAGTTCTCGAGATCTACCTGAGCTCGAGCTCAAACTCTCCTCTTGCTTAAATTCCACTCTTGCAAATGGGAGGGCTCGAGGATCTTATGAGCTCAGGGCTCTCTCCTGGGACAGCGTGCCAAACACACTTTATAATCAATCATCAGCTAAGTGTGAACTCTTAAAGCAAAAAATATGGTAGGAAATACTGTGGAAATATTGTTGGTCGGTTAAACATCACTTTATTTCGGCTTAGTCCCTTTATTAATCTGGGGTCGCCTCAGTGGAATGAACCACTGACTTATCCAGCATATGTTTTACGCAGCGGATGCCCTTCCAGCTGCAACCCATCACTGGGAAACACCCATACACTCCCATTCATAAACATACTCCATGCACAATTTAACCTGCCCAATTCACATACTGTATTGCGCATGTGTTGGACTGTGGGGGAAATATTTGAAAGTGATTTAAAAATTCACAGGAAGGCTAGTAATTTGGACTTCAGCTGTATATAATAAACTATCATTGTATATTATATTATATTATTTGAAAGTTCCTGTCTCCCAGTAACTCATCGACTCAGCAATTTAAGCGCTATCTTCCCCAAGCTGACCTCTGAACTCAGGAGACCTTTCATCTTTGAACTTTGACCTCAGATGCCACATGAATGGAGATACAATATCCGCCCTTCATTCCTCCAGCATCTCGAGTCGGTGACCTGTGCTCCAAAGCTTTTCACAGAAGCATGGTTCACGGAACTTCAGCCTTTGACCTCGCAACAGACACAGATGTGTGTTTAAGCATGGCTTTTGTTTAGTCATTATGTACATTGACCTCCATCCTCGACATATTCTTCATGGCCATTCTTCAGATGTGTTCACGATAAACATCACAGGCTTTGAGAACATGCACTGGCAGGTTTTGTTGATGCCTTAACTTATTATTACTATTATTATTATTATTATTATTATTGTTGTTGCTATTATTATTATCATAATAATAATAATAATGATAATACTAATAATAATAATTATTATTATTATCATTATTATTATTATTATTATATTATTATCATTATTATTATTATTGTTGTTGTTATTATTATCATTATTATTGTTATTGTTATTAATATTATTATGATTATTATTATTATTATTATTGTTATTATCATCATTATCATTATTGTTATTATTATTATTATCATTATTGTTATTATTATTATTATTATTATTATTATTATTATTATTATTATTATTATCATAATAATTATTATTATTAATATTATTGTTATTATTATTATTAGTGCTGTCAAATAATTAATGATGATTATTCAAAATAAACATTTGCATTTACATAATGTGTTTGTGTACTCACTGTGTTTGGACATTATATACCAATAAATAAATATATACCAAAAAATCCAAAACCGAAATATTTACATTTATATATATATATATTTCTTTATATATACTTTGTAGCAGATGTAAATATTTAATATATAAACATTGTCTTAAATATATACATGTGCAGTGGTGTGAATAATATTTGTCCTTTACTGATTTCTTATTTTTGTTGCATATTTCTCATTTATTTTGTGAATTACTTTAAATCTCGGCATGAAGTCTAGCACTTGAGGATCTTTTGGTCTACTTCACTTGATCAGGCAGGTCTTATTTAAGTGATTTCTTGATTGTGAACAGGTATGGCAGTATTCAAACCTGAGTGTGGATTGAGAAGTTGAACTCAGGTGTGATAAACCACAGTTAAGTTATGTTTTAACAGGGGGCAAACACTTTTTCACACAGGACTATGTAGATTTAAATAAAAGTTTATTCTAATAATAACAACTTTCATTTAAAAACAGCATGATCTGTTAACCTGTCTTCTCTTTGACTACTATTTAATTATAATAATATTTAAATAATAACATTTAATATTACTATACATATTATGCAAAGACAAGCTTTTATTTTGGATGTGATTAATCACAATTAATCTTTTGACAGCACTGATTGTCATATATTTGGGCTTTAAATCAATGTTTATTTTAATCTGTCATTCACACATATTTCTAGTTCAAACCTGCATGCTGGAGAAAAATCTCGAATGAGGTTTTGCTGAAAAGGAATAGATAGTTGTGGAGATTTTTAGTTAAACTGTTTTG